AGTAAATGTTGTGTGATCATGGCCAACTTAGTGGTGATTAAGAGATACACTGTGGATCATTAAGCGTGACATCATATCATGCAACTTCCTAATGGCTTCCCTATTGGCTTGCTTGTTTGAAGGCTGTGCTAAAGGTTGTAACTGACAAGAACATGACCATGGGGTACTGCAATCATCATAAATGTGTGTGCCCAAGTGCCCGAATCACAGTCACATTACTGTAGGGATGCTGCAAAGGCTACTGCAAGTCTCCTTTTTCAGTGTTGTTATAACTTTGAATGATTGCTGAATGAGTGGTGGATACGTGAGGATTACTTGCATTGCTCTGCTATTTCCTATTCAGGTTCTACCAACTTATCTGAAGAACTCTTCAGAACATTTGGACACAAAGCTGAGCATTTTCTTTTTATGAGCATGTAATAAAATGCATTGCCACAACTAAGACAAACTCCTTTATGAAAATTAAGATGCAAATGATTTGGATTCTCTACCAGACCTGATTCTAGGAGAGGTAAGATAGAGCTGTCTTCTCAAATCAATAAATCCTTTGAAAGATTTCCTTGGGAAATCAGTTGGGAACTCATTAATTACTACTGGGTTCTTTCTCAAAGGGGACATCAATTTATCCAGCTACTAAAACTGTTTTATCAGGTTGAATATACTGTATCTGATAATGAAATGGGTTTCATCCATAAATCGGTGATCATTTTTATTTTATATTAAGGCAGGATAAAATAATAATGTATATTTATTTGTAGTTGACAGTTGTGGAATGCTGCCTTTATATTTAGTACTGCTTTTTTCCCACTGCGCTTTGAGAAAATTTATTCTAATGCAAACCAGTCTTCAGTAGCAATGTCTCTCATTGCCACACAAATTAAACTCATGAAGTTTTGAAATTGGATGGTGATGAGACACTGCTAGAAAACTCAAATTTCTGTGACTTCCTTTTTTCAGCAATGAAATCTATCAAAGAAACATAATGTCTTACTGAAAGACACTTGAATGATTGTTTGAAAAATACTGCCTCTTTATAATATACAGGTAGTCCTTGGCTTATTGACAGTTCAGCCCAAAATTTCTGTTGCTAAGCAAGACAGCTGCTCGGTGACTTTTGTCCCATTTTATTATCTTTCTTGCTACACTTGTTAAATGAATTATTGCAGTTGTTAACCATTTAACATGGTTGTTAAATGAATTTGACCCTGGGACACTGCAACTATCATAAATGTGAACCAGTTGCCAAGCATCCAAAGTTTGATGATGTGACCATAGGAATGTTGCAATGGCTATAAATGTGAAAAATGATCATAAGTCACTTTTTTCAGTGCCATTGTAACTTCAAATGGTTATAAATTAAACGAATGGTTATAAATCGAGAACGACCTGCAACTAATTTATGGGAAATCTAAAGATGGTGTGCTGTGTCATACATCATATAAGTGTAAGACAGCATTATTCATCCCCTGAAGTTTTAAATCTGTTTAATTCTCTCTTAATTTTGTTCAAATTGCCATATTAATTCCCTATAATTATTAGGTAGGCAGGACAGTTGGTATTATTTTAAATATTATCTTTATTTTTAATATGTGACATGATTTAAATTTGTTTAAAAACCTTCAAAATTTGTGTTGTGGGGCAGATTTTTTTGAGGAAGGTTTGTCATTTCCATGCTGTGGTCATTGTATGACTAACCACGCTTGCCTACGGACCATTTTGTGAATTTCATCCATAACATGCTTTCTGAAGATTAAATATGCCTACTGGCTTCAAAAGATAAGAAATAATGTTGTCTCATGTCAATCAGCAAGAACCAATTACTTGATTCTTCTCTATATTTAGTAGTGACTCTATAAGAATTTGAAATTCCATAGTGGAGCAGCCTACAAAAGAGATGAGCTTACCAGATGACTTGGCCCACAGTTCTAAAGTATAGAGCATAAAGAACACAGAGCCAGCTTGGTTTCCAAAAATAGCAGCCCACATGGAAGCTTGGGGTATAAGTGTATGCAATTTATCTTTCACTTCCTTGCTAGCCTCACTGCATCACAAAAGACACAGCAAATAGTCACTTGGCTGCATCAAGCATGCAGGCCAAAGTGGATCATCTAAGAGTTCTCTGCAGGAAATGGTGCCTTCCAAGTTCCTAACAAAGGCATCAATTTATGCTATTAGAGAAAATAAGGAGAAACAATTGTTCATTGTCAATCACATTGCTTATCAATGTAGCTTTTTTCAGTTTAGTTTTTAAGTACTGGAGCTAAAATGCACAAAGAAAATAATTTAAATATAAATTAATTTTTGCTGCATACTTAACTGTCCAAAGCTCCAAGTGGAGCTTTAGCTTAATATGTTCAGAAATGCTATACTGAATCTAACTGACTTACTCCCAGGTAAATATGTGTAGCAATCTTCCTTAACACTATGACATGCCAGGATACGGGATAACAATTTTGGGAAATAAACTTTAACACATCAGGTTATTTTTTTAAAGCAGGGAATATCCATGTAACACACTATGCATTGCTTTCAACTGAATGATATTACAGCGTGTACAATTTGTTGTATAGTAAAAAAATAGATATGCATTTGTACTTTTTAAAAAGCCTGCAAAATATTTATCTTATTCTCCAAAAACATGAATCTTCATTCCAATATGATGAACACACTCTAAAACACAGTGAACTAGTAAACAACATGGGCTCAGTATGGTTACTTTAAAGCAATTTTCTTTAGGATTGTATGCAAAGTGTGCTTTCATATTTATTGTTTTGGTCCTTCTTTTTGTAAGCTGTTTTGAATGCTAGAAATGCAAGATTAAATATTCTATGACTATCAACAAGAAAAGGAAAAGCAGTGGTTTAGAATGAACTATAGGGCAGGAATGAACAATTTCTTTTTCTGTCCAGTGTCATATATCCAGGAGAGGCTAAACTATGGAGCCCACATGATGCTAATGGATGAGATGGAAAGAAGCTCTCTGTGGGATTTTGTAATCTGTAAAGTCATCCATTTTCTCTGCAACCCTGAACTCCTGTTTTCTTGATATCTTCTCTCTCCTTCTGTCTCTCCCCTTCTTCTCTGTCAACCAAGCAAGGTTGTGTGGAAAGGGAGGAATCACTTTTGCCAAATAATTTTATTATCTTTTGACATTATAACTTTAACTTTTTTGAAAGGAGACTGAGGACCACTTGACATTATCTTTATTATTCGAGAGAATAAGAACAGAATCTTGAAAACTGTCCAAGCTTCTTTGTACTACATCTTATAATGAGCAAAATTAGTTTGTATGTGTGTTATTTTGATTTTCTTTCTCATGTTTCCTTATTTCTCACATCTGAGTAATATTTTCTGAATTAGCACTCTTTACAGTTCACTCATCCCTTCCTAGTCCCAAGGCCAGACATGTATTTTATCACATGGATGGAGAGAGATAATAAATGTTTGCATTGCTACACTACATTGCTTCTTCATTTGTACACACCTTGAGCTCCAATATCTATCTTATTTTTGGGGCACACATTATCTTGGCAGCTAGTAACCATCAAAATAGTGCAAACAGTGACACTGACAATTTTTCTGTTAAACACATTTCCCTCCCCTTAAATAATTTGCACTGCTGAGATCAATGGCTTGGCTGAATTCACCTAGACATGAAATCACATTAACAAAGCAACATACACATTTCCTTTAAAAAAAAACCTCCTCACAGGATTGGCTGTCAAATAAACAAAGAAGCGAAAAAGAATTTAAGCAGCATGATTATGAAATAAAAACAGGGAGGGCAATATAGAGACATTTCTCCCACTTATTTATAATAGTGGGTTACCTTTTATCAATTGCTTGCATGGTAACTCAGGAATATTTTATTATTGGATTTTGCAAACAACACCCACATCTCTAAGTAGCACCAATAAACCAAAACCAAACAGAAACTCAAAATAATGTGGCATAATGTTGCTGTACATTCAAAGTGGAAATTGTTGAACAAACACCGGAAGGCAAAAAAAAAAGTGCTAACAATCTCTCTTCTACTAAGATGTTGTAATACAGAAAATATGCACCTGTGTGTGTGCACATACAAGAGAGGCTTTAATATCAGATTTCTATTACCTTGCTGGTCAAAAGATAATTAGAATGCCCAACGAAGCACACAAAAGGATAATCAAAACACTTCTCAATGGCTTTAATATGAACCCAGTTACTTATATGAAGGAAGTACCAGGGCAATTAGTGAGTCTGTGCCTTTTCCATTGCAAAAAGTATTTTCTCTCCTTTGCCTGCACACCTTGGCTCTTCCCTGAGTCATCTTCATGTGCTGTAAGCTCCTTGTCCTAAGCCAAGTCCCAAACGGCCAAGCTGTAAATCAAAAATTCCCATTAGAGATACTAGACCTGGATACCCTGAAGACATTTCCCGTATCTTTTATTTTTCCCCACCCCAACTTTTAAGCAAATGAAACAGGTTTAGAGTGTGTGCGTCATGGTTGTCCAATTATATCCTTGGCATATAGAAATGGTCTAGAGTGGCGTAGTGGCCTAGAGGTGGAACTCTCACCTCACAATCAGGAGGCTGTGAGTTCAATCCTAGGTAGTAGAAGATGTTTCTCTCTCTGGGCACAATGAGTAATTGTCTGCTGTGAACTCTGCATAGGTGTCAGGAAGGGCATCCAGTTAGTAAAAGCTCACATCTGCTTTGGACCAGACATTTCTATCATTAGTCAAATGACTGCTCTTCCTTTATTGTTGACTTGCCATGCTACACAGATGGTATGGTGATTTTGTGGGCATACATTGACTATATTCAGCTCACAGTAACAGATTTAAGAAAACTACAATATTTGGAGAGACATGGATAACAATTTTCAGCATGCCATTTTGAAAACTATCCCTTTTATATAATCTTCCTTGAAGATTGTGTGGCTCTTGGTGCTCTCTGAGCTTGGTGATTTTCTTGCAGATGTTTCATTACCAAACTAGGTGACATTATCATTTCTTGAAGACTGCACGTAGAGATTTGAGATTGCCCTATAGAAAATTGCCATACCTATTCCTTTTAACTTCAGAGTTTTTCTGTATTCATGGTGAGGGTCTTCCACACAGTTGTTTTAGGCATTTCTTCTGAGATATTAATATCTGCAGGATCAGGCCTACAATAACATTTTCATTAAGAGAATTTCTTATTTTATAAAATTATTTTTATCATTTAGAGTTGATTCTCCTGCCTTAAACGAGATAGCAAATCATTCACGGACTATTTCCAAATACAACACATATCATTCAGTTTCTTTCAAAACACTGTATTTTATGATTAGAAAATTGTCCTTTTCCCTGATTACATGAACAAAGCCATGACTATTGTAATTATAAAGCCAGAAGTCTGGAATGCCAGAAATTTAAATATTAAAAGTGACCGTCAATGAACAAATACAGTTCATACATATGGGTGAGTGGAGGCAAGGAATAACACATCCATTTTTCTAATATTATCATTCTTTTCTTAGTTGTATACCACCCTCATTAAATAGAGGTAGTCCTTGACTTATGATCTTAATTAAGCCCAAAATTTATGTTGCTAAGCGAGACAGATGTTAAGTGAGTTTTGCCCCATTTTACGATCTTTCTTGCCACAGTTGTTAAGAGAATCATTGCAGTTCTTAAATTAGTAACACGGTTGTTATGTGAATCTGGCTTCCCCACTGATTTTGCTTGTCAGAAGGTCACAAAAGGTGACCACAGGACACGGCAATCGTCATAAATGTGAACCAGTTGCCAAGCATCTGAATTTTGATCACATGACCATGGGGATGCTGAAATGGTTGTAAGAGCAAAACATGGTCATAAGTACTTTTTTTTACTGCTATTGTAATTTCGAACGGTCATTAAATGAATGGTTGGAAGTCAAGGACTACCTGTATCCACTTTGGAATAGAAAGTTCAGTTAGTTCAATATTAGCCTTATTTTCTTCAATGGTACTCCAAACTCCAAAGAGTCTCTTTTTAGAGTGAGATGGGTGTCATACACGTTAAATCAATCAATCAATCAATCAATCAATAAGGAATAGGAAAGCATGAGTGATGGTGCAGTGAACTTAATTATAGTTTAAGTAAAATCTTTTAAAATGGCCTTGAATTGAAAAACTTTTTTTTCTTTCAACAACAATTAGAGAACTTGAGTCCTTCTATGGGCAAAATATTTTGTCCCAGAACATGCCGGAAATTCTACCGTAACACAATACAACAGGATACTAAGCATGAATGAAGGGACTTGGTTTTTTTTCTTCAATAATGTGTGTCGGGTAAAAGAGTAGGAGAAATTCAGTCCTTTGTTAGATCTGTTTCTAGAAACAAGTTTTCAGTACAGCTTCAAGAACTAGTCAGGGAAGGGCACCCGCAGAACAAACAAGCAATTTTGATTTATTTATTTTTTAAGTATAATAGCAGCTGCATAAGAGCCATGGTGGTGCAGTAGTTAGAATGCAGTACTGCAGGCTACTTCTCCTGATCACCAGCTGCCAGCAATTTGGCACTTCGAGTCTCACTGGCTCAAGGTTGACAAAAAGGGTGACTTTGGAGTAAGGCTTGGAGATGATTGGCCCCTCCCATAAGACATAAAGGAGGATCAAGGGGACATGAGACTTTGCAGGAAGCAACTTTGTTCATTCTGGTCGATTTAACATCTGAAGCTCTTTGTTGACTTTGTGCTCTGTTTGGCCTTGTACAACTAATTGGCAATTTAGTCGTTGGCAGCATTTCAAGGGAGATAAAGGTGGGTCCTTATCAGCCTTATCCCAAAAACACTGTGGCAGACTTCTGATGGACTATTCATAAACTGCTTGGGACTCATTACAGGCTGTGAATGCATGTAATTCACAGCCGTTGAAATAATAAAAAAGGAGGGTTTGGGAACAGCATGTGATTGTTACTGTGTCAGGAAGTCTTGGTCAGAACAGCTATTGCTATTGCATTGTTCGGGGGGTGGGGGGGGGGTGTCAGAGTAAGAACAATCTACAGAAATAGTTCCTATAACAGGACAATGCTTTAAAACAGTTGTACGCTTTTGCGTTTAAAATCTTCCTCCATGTTGTACATAATTAAAAACCTAACAAAAAAATAGGATAGAGTTGTGGCTGATGCTAGTATCCAAGGCATTCTTAAATGGAAGGAGAAGCCACCCCCAACCACGATGAATGCTATGTTAACTGGTGCAGGTTGGTGCTACACCAGGGCTGTCAAACTCCCGGCCTGCAGGCCGGATGGGTCATGTGCTGGCCATGCCCATGCCTGGTTTAGCGAAGGGGGAAAAAGTCACGTGATGATGCCGTGACAACATGAGTTGACACCCCTGTGCTATGTAGTTGAACAACAATAAGGGCAAATTTTTAAATATTTTTTTTTGGGGGGGACAACTTCCAAACTTGGTCCTTTTTAAATTTTGGAAATAGAAATTCCAGCAGCTACACTCCATATAATTTCCCATGAGGTGGGACACAGCTCGACAGGGCCCTGTGTATATTTACAAAGGTGGAAATTATTTAAGATGCTATTCTTTTAAAAATGCTAGCGATGGAGCCATGAGTGTCTGCATATGAACACAGTTGTAAAAATGGTTGATACCACTCAAAAGATGTGCCAAAGAGTATTCCGGTATCTTCCCAAATAGGTTACTAGAAGAATTAAAATAGTAATAGCAGCAGCAGCAACAACAGCACAAACAACAACAATGTAATAATTGCATTTAGCTTTTTTTTTTACCTAATGTCAATTTTTGGTACATTTTTTGAGTTTCCTGGAACTGTCAAATAATTTGAAGTCATTGGAGACATTTCAATTACAGCTGAGGTACCATCTTCTATCATATTCTGAGATTCCTTTTTAACACAAGAAAAATTCTGGTTAAGACTGACAAAATAATCTGCACATAGACCAACCAAAGTTTTCTATGACCAAATTGATAATGGTTACCTTTGGATAACATTTTCATCATTTTATTTAGCATCATTTATCAACCTTCATGACATTTGCTAACAATAAAGAAACAAGTTTAAAACCAAAGTAGCCTGATCTACATTATGCCCTGAACATATTATTTTATCTGAATTCCATCATTACTGTATTAAAATGTTCCAATTTACTTAGTACCTACACAGTCCATGCCTGGAGGCAGTGAAGTTCTTTCTAACATGGTGTAAGACATGAATCTCTTTCCAGGAAATTACCACCAGAGTCAGAAAGTTATGCCCAATGTGACCTAAGGGCCCACAATATTCACAGCAGTTGCCACCGAAAAGAGAGTGGGAGATGGCAAAAGGTCACATCCAGAGAGGCTAGGGCCTCAGTAAAAAAAAGTCTGGGACTTCAATACAAAGCAGATAAGAAAAAAGATATGGAAACACAAGAAAAAAGGACTGAAATAACTATGTAAAAACAAACAGGGCTGTCAAACTTGATTTCATTAAGGGCTGTATCAGGGTTATGTTTGACCTGGCCGGGGGGGGCGTGGCCAAGGGGTGTGGCCAGAGTGACATCACTCGTGTCGAAGGCCAGCGAAAACGGACTCCTGATCTGTTTTCGGTTGTGACATCCTCCTGCAGCCCCCTGCCAGTAAAAACAAAGCTCGGATGGGCTGTGCATGCCCCCCCACGACAGCTTCCTACAGCCTTCTGCCAGTAAAAACGGAGCTCTGTTTTCACTGCTAGAGGGCTGCAGGAGGCTGTCACTGCCAAAAACAGGGCCTGGGAGGGCCACACATGCCCCCCCGAACTCAGTTTTCGCTGGCAGAGGCATCGCAGGCTGGTCCTTCGCTGTTTCCAGAGTGGCCCCATGAGCCAGATCTAAGCATCCCGCAGGCCAGATCCAGTTTGACACCCCTGCAGTAGAAAGTACTCTCCTTTGTTAGCTGCAGCGGGCAACCTTTTCCGCTAAAAACTGTTTTTCCTGGTGAAATTTCTGGAGAGAAAAAACTGTCATGTTTTTAAAGAAAGATCTAATGCTCCCTCTAGTGGTCACTCATGAGAGCATAGAAGCAAGACATGAAAGCATCCTTGCGCTGTTTCACCGTAGTGGTGATTATGTTAGTAAGGTGCCTGGAAAAGATCTGACTTACTCTCCCAAAAGCACTGGACATCTGCCTGCAGAAGCCAGCGGTCACATCAGATCAGCAGCACACAGGAAAAAGGGACATGGAGTACAGTGTCCAGAGGCCCAAAAGCAAATGATGTGAATGTTGGATGGGTTTCTGCCCGATTACATCATCACTCAGTGCAGTTCCTGGTAAAGAGCCACATACAGCCACAATTGTGTCATGAAAAAAATGGAAAACATCAGTTATGGGCCGAGGATGAGATGGAAACAGTATCATGAGGACATAGCAAGTTGCAGTTAGGGGAACATGTGGATGAACCTTTGGAAGGGAGAATCAGGATTAGACCTATAATTGCCATGCCTATTCTGTCTGAATTTATGTAAAGAAATGAATGGACCACATATGTATGCTGAAAAATTAGGAGAACCTTTAGTATAGTGTAGTTTAGTGTAGTGGTTAAAGCGCCAGATTACAGACCGATACACTGTGAGTTCTAGTCCTGTCTTAGGCCAACTGAGTGACTTTGGGCCAATCTCTCTTTCTCATAATCCCAGTCCACTTCCCAGGGTTACTGGAGGTGGAGGAAATAGGAAAAAGGAGTATTAGGTATGTTCACTGTCTTGAGTTACCTATAAAACTAATAAAGGCAGGATAAAAATAAATAGCACCTTTTTTTTCTTCGGAATTTCAGACTGTGTAAAGACAACAAACTATTCCACGTTACCCAAAAGGGATAAAAGATGTTGACAAAAATCAGTGAGAAGAGATAGGAAAATCTTTTAGCCCCTAAGCAGAAGAAAACTTTGAAAAGAGCTCACTAAAGACTCGTCCTTTCAATTCTGCTGAAAAACACTTAATTTCAAACATACACCCACAAACATATCTTGCTGCTAAGTACAGGTAGTCCTCAACATTATGGCCACAATTGAGCCTAAAATTTCTGTTGCTAAGAGAGACTGTTGTTAAGTGAATTTTTAATCACATGGCCATGTGGATGCTGCAATGGTCGTAAATGTGAAAAACAATTATAAGTCACTTTTTTTTCACTGCTATTGCAACTTTGAATGGTCACTAAACAAACTGTTGCAAGTCGAGGACTACCTATATGTGTACTTAAACTTACTCACATCTTCTTTTGCCTGTTGGATAGCATCATCTAATGTTTTCTTCTTGCTTTCTGGCATGGGATCATCAAGCCAGCTGAGTTCCCTCTTTGAAAAGCATAAATACATGAGCTTCCGAACAAAGACCAGTGCTAAAACCTTTGGAAGGGAGAAAAGAGAAAGGAGATTTGTTGGTGGGTGGGGGGAGAGTAACATTCCTGAGATGACAACAGAATTCACTGGAAATGAGCAAAGTAGATAACAAGCACCCAGAGAAAATAAATAGAAAGAGAGAGCAGCAGAGAGTAAGTCAGGCATCGTCAAGGTCTCTTTTTCCAAAAGTTTTCATTATGGAAAATATAGCTTGCTTTTTTGCTAATTCTGGGGCTATTGTTCTCCCATTGTTAAATAAACACAACCATGGGTCTTTTGTGATACTGCTGAAACCAATAGGAAAAGGCAAGAAACAATCAATAGCCACAGTCATTCCCATCTTCCAAAAGGGAGACCCCAGCCTTGTTGAAAATTACAGACCAATCTCCTTATGCTGCGTGATCTGCAAAGTCATGGAATCAATTATTAACCAATCCATTACCCTCCACTTAAGAGACAAACAACCTGCTCTCTAATAAGCAATTTGGTTTCAGGAAAAAACTATCCTGTAATCTGCAACTCTTACACTGCAAAAACATATGGACTACACAACTCAGGGCAAAGCAATAGACGCAGTTTACATAGACTTCTTTAAAGCCTTTGATTCAGTGGTACAAGGCAAACTACTTCTAAAACTAAAATCTTATAGCATCTCCGGACACCTGCATAATTGGATAGCTGCATTCCAGTCAAACAGGCAACAAATGGTAAAAATAGGGAGCCCCCTATCAATTCCCATACCTGTTAACAATGGTGTCCCCCAAGGCAGTGTTCTAGAACCAACTCTCTTTTTACTTTACATAAATGACCTTTGTGATCATATTAAAAGCAACTGTGTTCTTTTTGCAGCTGATGAAAAAGTATTCAACACCACCGACAATGCTGCTACACTTCAAAAAGACCTTGACTATGCTCTGTCTTACATATTGGCAAGAAAAATCAAAAAATAAAATACAAGCTGGACGGACAAGACCTTGTAGATGACTCTCACTCTGTCAAGGACCTTGGAGTTCTCATCTCTGATGATCTAAGTGCTAGAGCCACTGCAACAACATTGCCAAAAAGGCATTCAGAGTTGTTAACCTAATCCTGAGAAGCTTTTTCTCTGGTAATATTGTACTACTAACTAGAACATACAAAACATTTGCTAGACCAATTCTTGAATACAGCTCATCTGTCTGGAATCCACACTGCATATCAGACATTAATACAATTAAGAGAGTCCAGAAATATTTCACGAGAAAAGTCCTCCACTCCTCTCCTCGCAATAGAATAGCCTATGCCTCCAGACTTGAAATTTTAGGCTCAGATAACTTAGAACTATGCCACCTTCGGTCTGACCTAAGAGTAGTACATAAAATTATCCATTACAATGTCCTACCTGTCAATGACTACTTCAACCTCAACAATACACGAGCACACAATAGATACAAACTCAGGGTAACTTGTACCAAACTCGATTGCAGGAAATACGACTTCAGCAACAGAGTGGTCAATGCCTAGAATACTCTACCCGAGTCTGTGATTTTGTTCCACTAACCCCAAACACTTTAACCTCAAACTGTCTACTGTTGACCTCACCCCATTCCTAAGAGGTCTGTAAGGGGTGTGCATAAGCGCATCAGCGTGTCCACCATCCCTGCTTTAATGTTCCCTTTTATTCGCATCTATTTCATGTATTAATAATCATGTTTATACTTATATACTGTGTATTATCAAATGCATGCTTGAAAAAATAAAATAAAAAATACAGAATTCATAAGGAACAGTGGATGAAAAGAAAAAGTAGATTTAATTATCTTGGAGCTATTTGGTAGGTATTCAGAAATAATCACACTGAGAGAAAATCAGATATTTTAACTCCAAGCACACAATTAAAACCACAACTCTTCTAGTAAAAGAAAGGCTCATGTCAAGAAGTACACTAAGGGTATTCCTCACTTACTGACTGTCTCTTTTAGCAACCATTTCAAGGTTGCAACCAATCCTCTTCATTTATGACCATCACAGCATCCTGCAGCCATGTGACCACTATTCATGGACTTCACAGTCAGCTTCCAAACAAGGCAAAATAATTGGGAGAACACAGAAGTCAAATCTCAAGTTATGGTCATGTGATGTCTCATGTAATGACCCTGGTGCTTAGTGATTGCCAGTCCCAGTGGAGGTCAGTAAGTGAGGACTACCTCTACAGCCCACTGAAACATACAAGCAAGATTTCTATTAATTAACACTGAAATTTAGAAAGAGGCAATGGATGGTACTGACCTGCTATGCCAATTGTACGAGAAATGAGAAATGGCATATTCAGTCAAATCTACAAACTACAAATTAGGATAAATGGAAATTTGTCTGAAATTTATCTTAATTTCCATTTTGTAAATAGTTTCACTGTTAATGATTTCCCCTTAAGCCACCAGCAATAGTTTATATATAGCAGTTGGCATCAGGCTAGAAAGCAGGAGGCCTCAAATTCAAGACCCACCTTAGCTATGAAAGCCAGCTAGGTGTCCTTGGGCCATCACTTTCTCTCATCCCAACTCACCCACAGGGTTTTTGTTGTGGGGAAAATAGGAAGAAGAAAGTGTGTCGGGTATGTTTCCTACTTTGAGTTATTTGTAGACAATAATAAAGACAGGATGCAAATAAATAAACAAACTATCGTCACTCACCTGTTCTCTGACATAGGAATAATATATAACTAACAACCCATTTCTGAAGTCTTACAACTCAGGATTCTCAGCAAAAATCAGGTCTTCTCAAAACTGGGAAATGTCATACCAGATCCCAGGTTAATGCCTTTAAGATGAAATTCTGACTCTGCCTCCCCATGCCCTTATGACAGAGATGGATACTTCAGCTTAAGTATTTTTACCATCATGGGAAAGATAATGGCTGCAGGAGACGTCTTGACAACCCACAGAATGATCAGACAGGTGAGCTGGATCATTGTGAAGAGGTACACTTTCCTCAGAGGAACATGTCGCAGGTAAATGAAATCAGGCTGATGCTTGGTGGGCATTCCCATTAGCTTCAGGCGATCAAAAAACTAGGGAAATAGTACAACAAAAACAGAGCATTTGTTGAAAAAGATCCAACTGGTAGAGTAGGCATTCTAGAAATCATATTGTTCCAACCAAGCATCCTGGAATTGTTCATCCTGGCTGGGAAGGCAAGGCAGAGTACAACTAAAACTTTCATGGATGTGCTGCCATAAGGAAACCATTGCACAACCTAGTACATGGGTCAAGAGCATTTTTCACACAAGAGCTTTCTTTAGTCAGTAATACAAAAGCCATTAATTCTTTAAATCTGCATCCTATGAACAGGAATCATATATATTTCCACCCATGGTCAAAAAGCATTTTGATAAAATTCATTTTGAGTGGTTTCCCAGGGAACCCTTTATGTTATACGTGGTAATATACTTTTAAACAGTGTATTTCTCAACCTCGCAATGTTAAGAAGTATAGACTTCAACTGGCTGGGGAATTCTGAAAGTCCACACATCGTAAAATTGTCAAGGTTAAGAAACACCACTCTTAAACAATAACGTATCCTCACAACTTATAGTTTAAAGCTGTTACTCAAACATTGAAACGTTATAATACTTGAGAAACAGCCCAGCTCAATGTAAGGCATAAGTTTTGCATTCTATTGATCAAAACTTCAGTCCCTAGTATCTTCTGTTGAAATATGGAATGTGGTGCTTTTTTTGTTTACAACAAAAGGAAGTGCACACACTTTGGGGTCACAAGCAACCATGAAATAGATTTATTGTGTCATATTCTAGTACAGTACAGAATATACGAAGTATGTTGTTGTTCGCTCACTAAGATGTCCGACTCATGGACCATAGTGTGCCAGATCCCATCCCTCCCCTGTCTTCCAGAGTTTGCCCAAATTCATGTTCATATATACAGTATATATAAATTAAAAACCTGAAAAATGGTGCAAATCTCAGGGTTTTATGATGTCCAACTCAGAGGGTGATGGGGAAGAAGTCATGTGCTATGGGTTATGTGCTCTGATCCATTAATAGGCAAACATCCCAGAGATCCAGGCCCTAGTACGGTATGTAACAAAAATCCAAACCTTCTTTGTCTGGCTTGGTGATGTCTGGGCCAGAATTACAAGATCAAAGCCCAATGGATCAATGACTCGTCTTATGGAAGCCCAGGGACTGAACCATGGAGAAATATAAGCCTTGATACGTAAAGCAAAATGTCTACTATTTTTTGCAAAGCTACTACGGCAGTATTGTCTTTGGACTGTTGGAAGGAATAGCCATCTGGTTCAGTTCCAAGCTGGGAGAAAGACACTGAAAACATGGAGGCTGATTGGAAAGATGGTTTATTGATGAAGAAGCAGCAACATGGGTGATTCTGGGCAACTGACCACATGAAGTTGAGAGTGAGAGGTATTTATACCTTCTCTTGGGCTTTGAACTTGAGCTTCCTGTTCCTGTGCAAGAACATGTATTCTATTGATTGTTGTAGGGGTCACAGCTGGCTCTGTAGTTTATCAGAGCCGCCAAGTTTGATTAAAGTTTGGAGGGTGTGGTGCAACTGAGATGATGCAATGAAGGAGTTTGTGTTCTGAAAGGGTGTTGGGCAATTCTTATTATGGCTGAGGGATAATCAGACCTTGTTGCAGGGACTAATGGATTACCAAATCTGCATTTCTAAAAGCTGGTCTCAGCTCAGTACCTTGCTGGGGGCAGGTAGCTGGAGCTCTGAGTTTCTGTCCCCCTTAGGATTTTCATTTCTCTTCTAGGAGAAATATTTTATCCTGCCTTTTTAATATTTCTCAAAATATTTCATTCTTCTAGGAGAGGGGTGGGTGCTAACTTTCTACAGGATAATGCTGAAATTATTGTTGGAAATTATCTTCAGACCATGTTGTCCCCCCACAGCCAAGAAACTGAGATGAGCACCATGCCCTAGATTCGGATACAGCTGCCTTTTTATTATGGCTATCAGGTACTGGTACTATGGCTACCTGGTATTTACCACTACTATCTGGTGGAATACATGTTTTCTCTACTCAAAATACAAAGCTCTTTTTTCAGTCTTCTGATGTCCCTACCACTTACAAAAATTCACCACAAACGTTAACCATTCAAAGGCCCAGACATCCTTTCTGTGCTTACATAATATATATATATAAATACCTGTATTCCATTCAGAGAAGAAACACCCATGTATAAAAACACTCCATAGAGAACAGGCATCGGTATAAACTGAAAAGAAAAAGAATATAAGTACTACATGAGATGGAGTTTAGGTATATCACTAAATTCTTCATAACTAAAAAATAATACTGTATTGTTTAAAAATACAGGTAGTCCTCGACTTATAACACTTAGTTTAGTCACAGTTCAAAGTTACAACGGCACTGGAAAAAGTGACTTATGACCGTTTTTCACATTTGCAGCTGTTGTAGCATCCCCTAGGTCATGTGTTCAAAATTCAGCCACTTGGCAACTGACTCCTATTTATGGCGGTTGCAGTGTCCCTGAGTCACGTGATCAACGTTTGTTTCTTTCTGACAAGCCAAGTGAATTGGGAAGCCAGATTTACTTAACAACTGTGTTACCAACTTAACTGCAGCGATCCACTTAACAACAGTGGCAATAAATGTCATAAAATAGGGCAAAATTCACTTAACAGCTGTCTCATTTATCAACAGAAATTGTGGTTGTTAAGTCAAAGACTACCTGTATAGCTTCTCACCAATATGACAACTTTTTTTAAAAAAAAAACAAACCCTACTCAGTCAGTTAAACATGCTGGGGAAAATTAGTATGTTTTGGCAACTGCACTATTATGTAACCTTTCTATACTTGGGGAAAAGAGGCACAACCACACAAAGGCAACTCTAATTTAATGTGGTTGTTCAATTGAGTGGTGATTACCAGGGTCCTGCAAAGGCCAAGAACAGCAGTGTACTCTCCTTTCTGGAGAAATTAGACAGGAGCTTGATGAGCATCTATCAGGGATGGTTTAGTACAGGGGTTCCTAACCTGCCAGGAACCAGTCCACGCAAGCGAGCAAAGCCCCACCTGCACATACATGGGATACAAGCAGTGTGCAAAACCACACCGCTCCGGTCTGGGGAAAAACGTTCCTCCAGATCCCTGGCAACTCAAAAGCTTGAGGACCACTGGTCTAGTAGATTTCTGCCCTCTTGAATTGCAGAGTTCTGAATTAGTTTTCAGAGAAGGAAAGAGTACGGAATAAGGTATTATATTTAAACAGCAAGGGTCGTGTTTATGAACAATTATGATAGCTTTTATTTTGATTGAAGAGAATAGTCACTCTTCATCTTTATAACCAAGGATTTATTAAGGTTAATTTCAGTATCAAATCTGTCTTTAATCTGTGTCACGGGATACAGTGTGGCATTTACACTGAATTTTATTTTGAAATTGAATGCAGAAAATCATACATTAACAGTTGCATATTTCTCTGGCTGTGGTAGTCCTTCAACTTACAACCATTTGTTTAGTGACCATTTGAAATTACAACAGCACTAAAAAAAATGTATTGTAACTGGTCCTCATGCCTATAACCATCACAACATTCCCATAATCACTTGGCAACTGGTATGTATTTACAATGCTTGCAGGGTCCTAGGGTCTTGTGATCACCATTGGTGACCTTCCCAGCTGGCTTACAATAAGCAACGTCAATGGGAGGAGCCGGTGTCACTTAATGACATGATTCACTTAACAACTAAAGTGATTTGCTTAACAATTGTGGCAGAACGGTCATAAAATCGGGCACAGCTCACTCAACAACCACCTTGCCTCGCAACAGTGGTCATCAGCTGAGGTATATATAAGTTGTAACTGTGGTCATAAGTGGAGGACCATCTGTCCTGTAGAATGTATCTGTAGATATGCTTCTAGATACAATGAATAACAAAATGACTTTAAGGGAGGTTTAAGATAAGACAAAATTGCTGCCCTAAACCATTTTAGTCTAACCTAAATGTTAGATTGAACGTTAGACTAAATGTTTTGCATGAACAAAGCATTGCTTTTCTGTTTTTATTATGTTTCTTCACGGAATATGACCACTGATAATGCCAGTCACGTATACACAGATAGGCTTCTCTAATTAGACTGGGTCAAAATGACAACCTATGCAGTAACTTTAGGATACAAACTCTGCCATGATGCCATGACATCTGATGCAAATACATAAATAGCAGATTTTGTATCACAACGGGTGTTTCATCATCTGCCCTTCCTTCCCCCTCACAATGCCTAGGCCTTTATACAAATGCAAATGTCTATGCAAGCATGGTGCAAAACCGCTGAACGAGACGTTTCAGCACGTGCAGGAGCACATAAGAAAGCACCTCTTTTTGAACGTTTCAAAGTGAGCCAGTCATTTTCCAGGCGCACACAGTTTGCTTGGGAAGCTCTCCCAGATCACCACCGCAGGAACTGGCACGCACTTCTGTTTTGTGTACTAAAAGTACATTCTACAGCAGGGGTATCAAACTCGATTTCATTGAGGGCCACATCAGGGTTGTGTTTGACCTCGGGGGTGGGGTATGTGTGGCCAGGATGGGCGTGACCAGCTTGAAGTCACTCGTGTCGAAAGCACCTGTGGTGGCCTGAGCGCTCTGCCAGTGAAAACGGGCTCCTGAGCTTCGTTTCCGGCTGCGATGGCCTCATGCAACCCTCTGCCAGCAAAAACAGAGCTCGGGAGGGTCACACATGACCCTCCTGAGCTCCATTTTCATTGGCAGAGACACCACAGGCTGGTCCCTCGCTGTTTCCAGGATGGCCCTGTGGGCCAGATCCAAGCACCCTGTGGGCCTAACCCCTGAGTTTGATAAACCTGTTCTACAGAATCTTTAAATTTTAAAGGATTTGCACATCTTTATCAAGATGGGCTACCCTTTGGACTGGGGGAGAGAATGGTGCTTCAGAATGTGTGAATACATTCTGGGGATGCTTACACAGCAAGAGCCAGCAAATCCTTAAAGCAGCTGGTTCTTTTCTCAGGATCATCCCAGATGACCTCAACAACAGCAACACAAGCTTTAAGAAGCAGCTAACAGGAGTTACGTGCATACCTATGAGTATGCCAGAGCACCTTTTCCCCTTCAAACTCCCTTCCAACCCAAATTGCTGCATCTTGTTGATGATGAATCCAGGATACTAGACAATCGTTAACAATGAGATCATTAATGAAGAACCACACGTGCTCCCAGAGCTTTCTACAGGCAATCTTTGACTTATCACCACAACAGGGACTGGAAAATTAATCATTTAAGTGATGCGGTCATTACATGGGATATCACATGATGGCAACTGATTTTACGACCTTTTTAGCCCCAGTCATTTAACAAAACATTGTGGTCGGTAAGTGAGACGTCACATGACAATGACTTGCGACCATCCCTGCTGGTTTTCCCAGTGACTTCGCTTGTCGGAAGCTGGCTGGGAAGATAGCAAATGGTGATCACATGACCAGGAGATGCTGTAATTTTCATAAATGCGTAACAGTTGCCAAGCACCTGAATCATGATCAACTGACCGCAGAGACGCTGTGACAATTGTAAATATGACCAGTTCTGTCATAATTTTTTTCAGAGCCACTACAACTTTGAATGGTCACCAAATGAATGGTTGTAAGCCAAAGATTATCTGTATGGCATTGGGATACCATGGCTGTACATGATAGAACTGGTTTGGTATAGTGGTGAAGGTGATGGCCTAGAAACAAGGAAAGTGTGGGTTCTAGTCCCACCTTAGGCATGAAAGTTGGCTGGGTGACTTTGGGCTAACCATTCTTTCTCAACCCAATCATCTCACAGGGCGGTGGTTGTGGAGAAAATAGGAACAGAAATGAGTATTATTTACATTTGCTGCTTTGAGCTACTTGTAAAATAATAAGGGCAGGCTAAAAATAATTCTAATAAATAAGAAAATTGTGCTTGGTCCATAAGTTATAGCTAGTGTGGCCTAACCTAAAATGTAATCATCCCACTACTTACTTCCTGCTCCTTTCTTTAAACCTGCTTTAAACCCAGATGTGGAAAGCAGCTATTAACTCTATTGTCTTGCAACTCTATTGCCCTGCCCTGGACAGAATTTGCTCACTGCTCTGGGAAGCGATGCAGAAAGATATATCTTTACTTTTTGTATATAAAAGGAATATCAGATACCAACTTGAATGGCGGGGAGGGGTGAATATCTTTGGTGGTCTCAAAAGGTCTAAGGCCCACTTCTTTAAATAGGCTTCAAATCTTTTCAAATCTTGGTTTGCGAAAGTCAAAAGTAGTTTTGATAAATGCTACTAAAGATAGGCACTTTCAGAATGCGACACGGTCTCGAGCCAATACAACTCCATTAAAGCTAAGACTATTTAAAAGAGGGAGCGGAGGTTGCCCTGACATACCCTTTAATGTTCTTCCATGCTTTTACCTTTAACACACTAGTGATGAAGACTGAAAGGCCCATTAGTACAAAGATCATCACTCCAGTTGCTCTTTGTTCAATTATGCCCAGGAATTTAGGTTGCTCCCCAGGAGCTGCTACAGTAGATTCAAGTCTAAGACTGTTCACGTGACTGATGGAAAGGACGGTTGCAGCAACATACCAAGGCAACCCCATCACTGAACACACACCAAGCATGATGCCCACCATGAGAAGGTCCAGATGGTAGCCACATCCTTTCTGTGAAAATAGAAAGCATTAGCAGAGGTCAACTAAAACCTTGTTATCATTCACTGTGAATCATTGGATACACAGTAGAGGAAAGGTTACTAGAATCATCAAAAGTTAGAATATGGTGCCTTATTTCTGGATGGTGGTAAGGGAGAAAAGTAGGTTATAGAATAGAATAGCATTCTTGATTGGCCACATCTGTTATCCATATCTGTTATAATCAAAATTCTTTCATGTTTGAAAATATGTACATCTGCACTGAGATTGGTTAGGAACACTTTGCTACGATTTAACTTTTCTTCCCACGTGTTGCTCAATGTTTCTTCATATGGTTGAGAACTAGGGAGTCATGGCATGGAATAAGGACTTTTCATTAAGATGCTATTCTTTGGGATGGAGGAAACCTATTTCAGACCTCTGGCTTCACACACATCTAACTAGCAATGAAAGCTAATTGCAGTTTCCAACACTTTTTAGATTTGTGAACAGGGTCTTGATCAGATCACTTTCCTGATTTATTTATTCTCCCACTTTAGCTCTGACTATATGGCATGTTTTAAAATTGTGTGCATGCATCTGTGATGAGCAGAAGTGCAGCTCACTAAATAATGACAATTATGCACTACTGGGAGCTGCATCCTATTGTTAAATCTTTGGAGTTCAATATTCTCAGAACTGGTTTGAGCTTTCCAGAAATTAGGCAGGAACATTTCCCTCATATTCCCTCAGGGACGCTGTGGCTCAGTGGCTAAGACGCTGAGCTTGTCGATCAGAAAGGTTGGCAGTTGGGCGGTTCGAATCCCTAGCACCAAGTAACAGAGTGAGCTCCCGTTAGTTGTCCCAGCTTCTGGCAACCTAGCAGTTCAGTTTGAAAGCATGTAAAAAATGCAAGAAGAAAAATAGGGACCGCTTTGGTGGGAAGGTAACAGCATTCTGTGCACCTTCGGCATTTAGGTATGCTGGCCACATGACCATGGAGATGTCTTCAGACAGCGCTGGCTCTTCAGCTTTGAGCACTGCCCCCTAGAGCCAGAAATGACTAGCACATATGTGCAAGGGGAACCTTTACCTTATTTCCCTCATATATGAATGGTTATTTCCCTCATATATGAATGGAAACAGAGCCAGGAATTCTCCCTTTGTTCTAATTGTCCATCTTTGATATTACTAAACAATAATCAACATAAATCTGTATTGGCTTTTTTCCTTCAAGGTTTGATTTGACTGGCTCTTTTGCTTCCTATGCTGAACCTTGCATATATACTGCACATTTGCTAAAAGTGGAAGAGGCACAAAACAGTGCATAAACACAGGGATTTAATCGTTTCAACTTTAAAGCAGCAGATTGGCATGCTGGCACACCAAGTCTCCTATCAGCTTAAGAAGTTCTGATATGGGGGCCTGGAAAAGCAGGAGAGAAGCATTTTTATTATTTAATTTCCTTTTATACCAGCTCCAGGCTGCTTAATTTTTTCACTCTGTTTTTTGTTAGCCTGGAAGATAAACAATAAACGAACGTTAAGTAGAGCAGAGCCATATCTCACCCACTTGCACAACAACGTTCCTCTATAAAATCTTCAAAATTACTTTTGAATTTGGGAATGTTTCAATACTGATTTCGCCCTCTGAGATCAGAGCAATCTGAAAAATGCAACAGACCCTAAAGTATTTTCATACAAGCAATATAAGATTGCAGACTTATTTGTCACTTGAAATGGAAATCTGGCTCTCCCGGTTTCCAAAAACTGGAAATAAAATTATTCCACAGTGTTAAGTATGGAGAATAATGGAGACCAGACATCTGACCAGTGA